GTACATCAAATTCTACTTTGTCATGAACATCGTAGGGTGCTGCTTTTCGCAAATCCTAGGAAACCCCTGAACCTCTTCACATTACACCACTAAATCCCCAATCCATAGCCTGTTGTCCTCCGCGCACAACTCAATGACTTGTTGAATAAGGGGTGGATCCGCCCTAGCAGCTCCCCGTATGGTGCGCCAGTTCTCTTCCTACAAAAGAAGAACAAGGATCTACGATTGTGCATCGATTGCCGCAAGCTTAACACGCAAACCGTCAAGAATGTGGGGCCTCTTCCTCGTATTGACGATCTTCTTGAGCGATTGGGCGGCGCGAAGTACTTTTCGGGCATTTTGAGTGGGTGGTCATGCCTTTTGGCCTCACCAATGCCCCGACGACCTTTCGAGCGGCCATGACCAACGAGTTTCGTGCGATGCTGGACCGGGTCATGCTGGTCTACTTAGTATAGCCGGACCTTGGAGGACCATCTTGAGCACCTTCGACGAGTGTTGGAGATGCTCCGTCGCGCCAAGTACAAAGCCAAGCGTGAGAAGTGTGAATTTGTATGTCAAGAGCTGGAATACTTGGGCCATTTTGTCACACTGGAGGGCATCAGTCCGTTGTTGGACAAGATTCAAGCCATCCAAGAGTGGTCGGAGCCGCGGAACGTCACGGATGTCCGTTCGTTTCTTGGCATTGCCGGGTACTACCAACGTTTTATCAAAGGATACTCGAAGATCGCGGCCCACTTGACCAAGCTTCAATGCGAGAATCGGCCGTTTGACTTCGGTGAGGATGCGCGGGGTTCAGTTTCGGCCCTCAAAGCCGTGTTATTATCAGCGGAGATCTTGCGCATTTAAGACCCGCTATTGCCGACACGCATGACCATCGGGGGCAAATAGCAGCCCGGGCGCTGCTGCCCTACTCGCCGCCGGGGGGGGGGTGCGTGGGTGGGTTAAATAGCTGGCACAAAACTCTTCAACAGCAGTGTGCCGCTGTATAAGACCATATGCAGACTGTGGCGAGTGTGTTATGGCAGTAGTGCGAATTTGTTTGTCAAGAGCTGGAATACTTGGGCCATTTTGTCACACCGGAGCGCAGCAGTCCGTTGCTGGACAAGATTCAAGCCATCCAAGAGTGGTCGGAGTCGTGGAACGTCACAGATGTCCGTTCGTTTCTTGGCATTGCCGGGTACTACCAACGTTTTATAAAAGGATACTCGAAGATCGTAGCCCACTTGACCAAGCTTCAATGCGAGAATCGGTCGTTTGACTTCAGTGAGGATGCGCGGGGTTCAGTTTTGGCCCTCAAAGCCGTGTTATTATCAGCGGAGATCTTGCGCATTTAAGACCTGCTATTGCCGACACGCATGACCATCGATGCGTCCGGCTATGGCACTGGTGTCGTTCTTGAGCAACACGATGGCGTGGGCTAACACTCGGTCGAGTATTTCAGCAAGAAGGTGTTCGTCGTGCACTCAATTGACAATGCATGCAAGAAGGAGCTCCTAGCCTTCGTCCATGCGCATAAGCGGTGGCGACAATTTCTCCTTGGTTGAAGTCAATTCTGATGGGTAACAGACAACAATCGGTTGGTCTTTTACAAGACCCAAGACACGATTAACAACACCATCACCCGTTGGATAACTTTCATCGACCGGTTTGCGGATGCTCTTTCACGACGTCCGGATCATTGCACCACAGTCTATTCGACCTTCGAGATCGATGACGACCTGCGGGACAGCTTCATCCGCGGCTACCAAGCCGACCCCGAGTTTCGCGACAAGTACGCGAATTGCTCCTCTCCTAATCCGGCACCATCACACTACCGGCTCCAAGAGGGTACTTGCTTGTCCGCACGTGGGGGAAGGACCTTCTCTGCATTCCAAGTGACTCTCACTTGCGTACGCGGTTCCACGACGCTCCCGCCACCAGACACTTCGGAGTCAAACGATCGTTTGGCCGACTTCGCGAGTGCTTTTGGTGGCCCGGCCTTCTAGGCGACGTCACATGCTATTGCAAGTCATGCGAGGTTTGCCGAGGCTGCAAATCCCACAATCATCGTCTGTATGGCGAGTTGCGACCATTACCGGTCCCCTTGCACAGAAGGGAAGCGATTGGCATGGACATCATAGAGTTGTTCCCCAAGCACAAGACCGGTGTGGATGGGATTCTCACGGTGGTCGACCGACATGTTTTTGCCTTGCCGCTATCATGCCAAGGCACCAGAGTTGGTTGAGGTTCTTTACCCCGGTTGGATTCGAACCAAGGGTTACCCCAAGGAAATCGTTTGCGACTGCGACACTCGTTTCAAGTTCGATTTTTGGTTGGCGCTCATCAAACAATGGGGCTCATCTCTCAAGCCGAGTTTGGCTTGCCACCCCCAAACCAATGGCCAAACGGAGAGGGCGCATCAGCCCCCACAGGTTCTCCTTCGCACTCTCAGCCGTCCCGGCCAAAAGGATTGGGTTGAGCGGCTTTCGGATGTCAAGTGGCATACAACTCGTCCATTCATCCGACTATCGAGATGTTGCCCTTTGAGTTCGAGCACAGCTCACCGGTCACCTCTCCATTGAGAGCGACAACCATCTTCTTTTCTTGCGTTGCAAGAGCTACTTGTCAAGGCACGCAACCAGATGGCAAAGATGCAGCAACGCATGAGCCAACTGGCCAATCGCTAGCGTCTTCCTTGTCCATTCCGCATCAGCGACCTTGTATGGGCTTCCGCTGTGGAATTCAGCCTCGAACAAGACATCTCTCGCAAGCTCCTCCCGAAATGGATGGGGCCCTGGCCGATCGTGGCACCCGCTGGGGATGCACCCGAAGGACCTTCATTTGTCATTCAGGTGCCCGCCCACTTGCCCGTCTACCCGGTCTTTCACTACATGCCAGCGGGACATGACGACTTTCCCGGGCGACGATCGCAGGACCCACCCTCTATGGACGGTTTTCAAGAGGTTGGCGACATCATCTCCCAGCGACGCTACGGCAATAGGCCGACCAAGTACTTAGTACATTTTGCGTACTGCACCCATAAAGCTGATCGTTGGTCGACCCGTGTGGAACTTCAAGAAACAGCTCCGGATGTTCTCGCTCGGTACGACCGCAAGTTGCATGGCAAGCCGGCATCTTCAGCTCCACGTCGCGCTCGCGCCCAGGTTCCACCTTTAGATTGTCAGCTTCGCTCTCGACCTGGCTTGACTTCATAAGGAGGGGGGGGTGTTACATGCTGCGCCTACACGCGGGCCCTGTTTGAGGGGCCCGACGGTTGCTAGGGGGCCCCCAGGCTGCGCGCCATCCAGCGCGCACTTTGGAGGCCCACGACGGCCTTTTGGCCGCAGGTACTGGCAGTTGTCCGTTCGGACGTCGTTTCGGACTGCAGGTCCCAAGGCGACGCCTCGGGGCACGTACACAGGGACGAGGCCTTTTTGAGGCCAGGCGCGTTTTGGCGCCTCGCTGCATCAGCGGCGCGGTTTGGGCACCCGGTAGGGGCCCAGACCAAGTAGGCCGTTTGAGGCCAGTACCTGAGGAAGCCCAGCAGGCCCAGCGCTACGTATAGCTGTGCTGAGGCTGGGCTGGGGACAGTTCGGGTAGCTCACTTCTTGAGCGACACGCTGCGGGTTGGAGGCTGCGCTGTTTTGGCGCTACGCTGCAAGGCTGGGAAGGAGAGGCATAGGAGGTAGAGAGAGGCGGAGGCCGTACCTGTAGTGGCGAACTTACCTGGCGCCATAGTCGGGGCTCCTCGTGGTACCTACACAGGTCGACCACGACGGTCAGTACGACAGCAGTACCCTGCAGGTGAGGCAGCGAGGAGGGCGACATCTTCTTCTTCTTTCTCGCCCTCCATCTCGTCTCCCTCTCTCCTCCTCCTTCCTCCTTCCTCCGTATTCTTCTTCAGATACAAGAGTGAGAGAGGTCACAGGTAGAGGATACAGGCAGAGGTTACTGTGGGCAGAGCGCCTAGGATCTGATCCGACATTTCTGAGGCAGACATTGATTGGACATCGGCAACGGACTATTTTTGGACTTCCTTATTGCGATCTTGGTCTTCTCCCTCACCTCCATCTTCTTCTCTCCTCTCCCCATCTCTCATCTGTGGTATTTCCTCATGTGCATGTACAAAGGAGGGACCTTTCTTGAAGTTTCTTCTATGTGTGTGGTCCCTCCTCCTCTCTCACATGTGTGACGAGTGATGGGGTGTCGCGTCAGTCCCGGTCAGGTAAGGACTTATCTTAAAGTCTTCCACTGCTCTACTATGTGCCATTTTGTATGTATCAGGATGTACATTGCATGTTGATGTTCCATTGACATTGGACTGTCCATTCGGTCCTTTTCATCACATTGCGGATCCTTGGCTCTACATACATTGCCCAACTGGGCCTAGCCGCACCCCTCTTCACCACTCACTCGCCCGCACACAGCCTGTGACGCAGCAGCGCAGGAGCTTGACCGCATTGCCTACGTGGGCCAGAATGCCAGACCCTGGCTGCCCTCCTTCCTATATGGAAGTGGCAGCCTCTGATTGGCTGCATGTGGCCTGGCTGGAAGCTTCCAGTAGCTCCGGTTCGGCCCCAGTACCTGCACCCAGGCCCAGTGAGGGCCTTGGCCCCTTTATAGTTGGACACGGCCTGAGTATCCAAACTTGGGCCGTTTCCTGCGTTTGCACAGAATTCAGGGGTATGTACGTCGACAGAGCTACTTTTGCATAGGCCTGTAGGCACTTCGTGATGTACTGGCCCTGCATTGTGTGTATGTGCCCAGGCGCAACTGCCACGGCCTGGGCCAAACTGTACGACGCAACTTAAGGAGGCTCACGAGTCCACTCAACCAACTGGCGGGCTGTAACAGCCTGAGTAGCCACATATGAAAAATGCTGAACTTTGGGCTCTCGTGAATATTCAGGCCCGCCTTCACTCAGGGCGGGCACTTGGATTGATGGGGGCCTCTGCCCAGAACATGTGCATGTCTGATACGGGCCCCGTGAGTGCTCATCCCCCGCATTCCATCCCCCTTCGCTTCGAAAGTCCGCTGAGATGCTTCATGCTGGTGCCTTCGCCTTCAATTTCTTGTCATACTCTGCCACAATTTGAGGAGCTGTCTTGACAAGTTCCTCCCTTGTAAACCATCGATCTTCCTTGGGATCAATATGATGCCTGAACCGTACTCTATACTCTCTCACAGGTTTAGGCGGTCTACCCCTGCCAACTGGCTTGGGAACAGGCATATCTCTGTGCTCCAGGATATCGTCGACGTCCATGTGACCATCCATGGTTAGGGGCAGCATAGATCTCCTTGATGGGAACTGTACGATTTCAGCGAAAGGTGCAAGCTTTGAGGCGTGAAACACAGGGTAAGTGCGTAGGTGATCAGGGATACGTATTACGTACGAGGGACCATCCAAATCGCTACCCACAATATCCAAGACTTCCCAGGGATCGAAATACTGAGGCATTAGTTTTCTAGATATGCCAAACTCCTGTCCCAACTCACTAGCCTCGACCCAGACACGTTCCCCTACTTGAAATATGGAATGTCGGCGATGCTTATTCTCAGAAGCAATCATTGCTTCCTGAGATTTCTTGATGTGCTCGACAGTCTGCTGCAACAGTTTCTCATACCAGAGGAGTTGCAGCAGTTCAATTTTCAGGCAGGAGGAAGTCTAGAGCAGATCTAGGCTTCCACCCCAGATGCAACTGATTAGGACTCACGTCGGTGGTGCTATGTACAACATTATTGTACAGGCTGGCGATGAGAGCTAGTTTCTCATCCCAATCATCCTGGCTGGGCTTGATATAGTGCCTTCACAGATGTTGCACCACACGGTTCATCTGTTCAGCCTGCCCATTGGCTTCAGGATGATTCCCAGAAGTTATCTGAAGCTGGCTGCCCTTCTTGGGGAGTCCAAACTCATGCACCCAATTATCCATGAATGACTTGATGACGTGCTCATTCCTAGCAGTCTCCGGTGTCGAGCGCATCGGTCCCGCACGGGGACCCTCCCGGCCGCATCACGCAGGATTTTGCAGGACTTTGTCGCAGAGTGTTTTAGCCGCTCCGGCCGAGTGTGCCAGCCGTACCTCTCGCGAGCCCCTACGACAGGACAGGGTCATGCGAGGCACTGCTTACCTCCACCTGCGGGAGTTGTCTCCATCCCTTAGGTGGCGTATCCCCGCCGAGCTACTGAACCACATGCGAAAGCTTTTGGTATGCAATTGCAGAGGTGGCCCAGCCGAGGGCGTTTCTCGCTCGTTGTAGCATAGGGGGTTACGCGCGGTTGAACGCCTGAAAATCGAACCCGCACGCGAATCGACGTACTGGGGGGCTGAGGTCCCAAACGCGACTCGGCGCCGGTCGACTAGGACGCATCACACATACCACGCGTTACACCACAACACTCACATCTACCCACACATAACACATGGAAAAACATAAAACAAACACAACATCACAACACTCCTAGTCCCTTCAGTATCGGACACATAACTTCATGCTGCGAGAATCAGGTAGGCATCGCGCGCTGAACTTTTGTATAAGAGTCGTGCGTGCTCATGACCCCCTCATATCGACCAGCCATGTGGACATTCGCAAGCATTTGCGCTGACGGGGTACTATGTGGTACTCGTAGCCTTGCGGCCCTTGATAATCTCGAGGGTCGCGTTCGACGCTCAAGTGTCGGCTGACAGGCGCTTTAAGGGGTTATCTCTCGACGCCAGACAACCGCCATGTGCGGTTGAAGACCACACCCTCTTCTGCACCCTGTGCAGAGGGGTTGAGTAGACAGCTCCAGAGCTGTCTTGGTAGCCAAAATCAAGGGGTTTGACTTTGACGGCTACCACGGACTACAACGTCCAACTAAGAAAACTTGAAAGAGGAAACAACTACAGATAGAAAAAAGGGGGGATCACCCTATTTCATCTCTCTGTCTAGCTCATAGTCTGATAACAGTCTCCAGCGGAAGGTGTAGGCCAACCCGTGAGATGCGTGTGGATGGTGCCCAAAGCTGGACCCATAGGCAACCCGTTGTTCGAGGCGTTGGAGGCTCGTGCGCGAGCCCCCATATGTCGAATGGGATTGATATCTCGCCCACGCGCTGTTTCGCGCTATTAAAACTCGGGTCTACTAGCCATAGCGCGCCTTTGCCTTTTTCGCTTGACCCATAACTTTCAGGTGTGGAAATCGGTAAGTGTCGCGCGCGCGGGTTAACATAAGGCCGCGCGACCACAGGACTTACGCATGTCGACCAACAATGCGGATTTGCGTAAGCAATCGTGATGTCGGCGCACCATATAGTACCCATACCCGAGTGGCCTCGTTTAAGCCATGGGGTCGCTTTCGATGCTTAGGCGTCGGCTGAAGCGCACGCTAAAGGGGGTAAACCTTTAGCGAGCGCAAAAACCGGCCTGGGGGCCTTACCGTCTTCAGCACCCTGAGGTGTCCCAAGGGGTGCGAGGTAAGATGGTCCCTATGGCAGGAAGGGATTCGGAGCGGTGGTGAGTTGTCTGGCGCAGCACCAGCGCCACGCTAATCCTTCCGCCCGGAACTTTATCGTTCCACCAAAAGCAAATTAAACAAGGAAAGAGAATAGGGGCGCTTGTCGCTAGCAGAAGAAGATATGAATGTCCTGCCGGACCGAGTTGCTGGGGGTCAGTCCCTCCTTCTCGCGGCGCTTTTGTTTCCCTAAGGATGTAAGTAGGTCAGAACTGTACGAAGGGTAATCCCTTCAGCCCCGGCCCTAGAACCTGGGACTAACGTTCGACCATATAAAATCAAAGAGTCAAAGAGAGCCGTAAACGTGCAGTCGCATATCCTTGTGAGGGTTATCCGAGCGTACGCCTACTTTGACTATTAAAGAATCAGGATAGGAGAAGACCAATCGCAATCAAACAAAGAGTTTGTGTGGTAGTTCACTCTCACGACAGTTGTGTGATTTGCCCATCTCAATCCAATTCACAACCAATCACCAAACTTTTATCGAGGTTTCTCCACACATACCTGCGATCACACACAGAAATCAAACGACATCACACACACTAAAGGGGTCAACTTTTCAGCCTTCTGCAGCTCACACCCTACCGTACGGATACAAGCCCAACCTTTTCCCCACCTTTCCATAACAAAGATACTCAGTCTTTAAAGAAATGGCCATTTATAAAGAATCTGGGTGAAAACCCAAGAAAACAATAAACCAGCAAGGGCCAAGGCTTTTAGGTTGAGAAGCAGAAGTAGTAGGACAGTTGAGTCGTAAACCGACGAATCGGCAACCGACCTGTTATCAACTATAACAGAAGAATCATCCTTAACAGGATTATGCTGGCCAGATCAATCCTTCAACCGAGTCACAAAGACCTGCATCACAGTACAGGTCACAGAGAACCACTATTACGTTTACCTCATATGGAGAATACTTTCTAGCTCGTATCCTAACTCCTCTACTAGTCTCAAACTCAGCTCCCATTTTCTAATTCCAGGTCCTGAGAAATTCGGCAGCATCTCCCCTATTCAGGGTGGATTTGCCAAGTTTCTCCTAGCATAAATTATTCTAACTCCTCGATTTCTATGAAATTTCGGCAACGCTTCCCGTAGGAAAAGTGCTTTTTCAGAATTTCTGAAAGCCCAAAAATGACTAACTCCTTCAGATTTGTAGAAATTTCGGCAGCGCTTCCCGTAGGAAAAGGAGGCTGCCAAGATTTATACAAAGCTGAAAGTTGAAAGACAAAGCAAAACTATACTTGGGACTAACTTCTGACGCTTACTTTGGAAGGTAGAATCAGCGATAGTCTGCACGACCTCTAGACGAGAGCGTGAGCTAGCACTGATCCTAACTCCTAGTAGAGTCAAGTCCTATCTTATCCCAAGCTTTTCTCCCATCATCCATCTTATCTGCCTATGGCTCCAGCACTCAGCGAGCATCTAAAGCAACTAATCCTATCAAAAGATGCCCCAGAGTGAGAGCCCGCAAACACACACACAAACAATCACAACGAACATCTCTCACCCTCCCTCAGGTTTCTTTCAACCTCATAGTTCGTTCAAAAACCTCGTTATTCCCTTTTACATCCCCCTTTCCTATGGCATACAGTCAGACAAGGCCCTAACCCTAGGGTATGCCTGACTTGCCTAGGTACACGAGTAAGGCACGCACATTTGGACTGCCCTAACCCTAGGGTGCGTCCAATCCACAGCACATCAACGACAAAGGCATATTACTAGGCCGCCCTAACCCTAGGGTTCGCCTAGTTAGCCATACAGTTTTAGTTACCAAAGGCAATGTGATCAGGTTGCCCTAACCCTAGGGTGTGCCTGATCTGCCTGAACAATTATAAACATCGAAACGCTGGACCGCCCTAACCCTAGGGTACGTCCAACTTACTTTAAACGACAAAAGCTTATCGCTAGGCCGCCCTAACCCTAGGGTACGCCTAGTTAGCCATACAACATGAAATAGGGTACAAATACTTTCACAGACTTTATGTTTTTCCTTGTCTTATTAAGCAGCCGATCGGACCTTTCCAATAAATGGAACTTCCGATCCTGCCTCATGTTTAGAAGGGGAAATAAAATCAGATTTATACTAACTCTCTGCTCCTTAGTGTTATCATGAGCATATAACTGAACCGCCCTAACCCTAGGGTAYGTTCAGTCTGCCCAGTTACCTTTGTTTTACTCTTCATCTTTTTCCCTCTTCCTTAGTTCTACCTGACTTATTGACTGGCTTTCCCCACCCAGGGCGCCCGGTCCGTCAGAAATATAAGTTCAAATTGTATATATGTCAAGTTTTATACTCTGGTTGACCATTTAGTTCATGGCTCATGGCTAAGCCGCCCTAACCCTAGGGTACGCTTAGTCTTATGCCGTTATTCCCTCAAAAGAAACAAACACCACAACTCATTAAAAGAAACATCAGGATTCTGAGCCTTCCCCACCCGGGGTGCCCGTCCTCCTGTTCAGAAACCCTTAAAGAAAACAGCGGCTGATCCGTCCCACCCGGGAAGACCAGCCAAAAATCATTCATTCAGATCAGCAAACCTCAACAAAACATAGCCCTGAGTCCACATCCACCCGGAGGGACTCAGCCTGGGTTTGACCCGATCAAAACATGCAAAACACCTTCCTTCTGCCTTCCTCCAGTTCGTTTTGTCTGAATTCGCTCAAGGATTATCTGACTTCTCATACACAATTGTTCATTAAACCCTTCACACAATGCATGTCCTGACAAACATAATAAAACAGAAAAAGTAGTAGCCTCTCACATATACGTTCTGATACCCACGGGATAGCAGATAGGGGAAAGGATCACACGCGTCAAACGAGAGTTATACCTGCAATTCCCTGCCTCCAGAACCCCGCCTGGGCTCCAGTAGAGCTCCCGCAATCGGTGGGGCGAACCTCCCACAGAGGCCTTGGCGCAGATTACGGGTTTCGATCCCGCCTGCCGCCTTCCTCTCTGAACCAAAAGACTAGACTGAGACTGAGAAAGGCAGAAAGAGAAGTATTTAGACTCTCGGATACAAGAGGGGTGCGCTCAGACTTGCGGGAGAGGGCCTTGTTGTCTTCAATCTCCTGAGGGCCCCGCAATGGTGGCCAAAAAGAACGCAG